GTCAAAGAATTGGGAATTAATTATTTTCCAGTATTCTGTGGATTTAGATGTTATATTAGTGAAGAAGTCCTGTTGAGACCAGGATGAGACATAAAAGTCCCATTGTTGTTCAGGTGTCTAACAGATCATTGTTTGTTTTTCATCCAGCTACTACTATATAACGATTAATGACGTTGGTGTATTGTGGGGGCTAAAAAAGTATGATTAAACAGCATTTTCCAGTACATTATGACTTGTTGATGAAATAAAGTTTCATTTGAAGCTTTTTTGAATCTCTAAGTCACAATTTAATTCATCTTAGTTTGGACAAATGTGCATTTTTTGTTAAATAATAAGAGAAAAAGACTCTTAGAAGGAAATGTCCTGTTGCCATCACCAAAAAGCTTAAGCATTTTAAAAATTTTGAAATTAGAAATTTGGGGAAGTGTTTCATCTAAGTAACTCTTTTAATTTTATAAATCCAGTTCCTTCTTTTCTTTCATCATATTAATATTCCAAAGAAGACAAAAAGAAAGATTAAGATAAAAAAATATACTTCAATAAGATAAGGAGCCTAAAATATTCTCTTAAAATGAAAACAAGAAAAAGCAATGTAGTACCAGCTGTTAGACACTGGGGGGCAGCAACTCACCTTCTTCCTTTCTTTTCTATGCTGTTGGAAACCAGAGTGGTGTTGCCAGCAGGTTTTCCATTGTTTCAAGGTAACAGCATTTGGATTAAATTAGAGGAAGTGTTTCTACTAAGTAATTATTTTCACTTTATAAATCCTTCTCCGCATTCCACTTATCCTATTATCTATCTTAAATAATAATATTTCCAAGAGGACAAAAATAAAAAATAAGATTTTTTATAGCTTTAATGGGGCTTTGTGGGGTCGCCATGTTGTCTCCTCTTTAATATTTATTTTCCCAAGAAGACAAAAAGAAAGATTACAATTATTTTAAATCTTCAGTAAATTAAGGAGGACTAATCATGTTTTCTAAGTGGCTATAAAATAAAATAAAAACTTATATAATAGTACTCATTTGCTGCAGGACTCCAGTCTTTCTGTGGAGAGTCCACATTGCCTGCAACCATCTTTCATTTTTTTGCGGTACTTTACAATGGGAATTCAGACAAAAAGCCCCCAACGTGCCATTCAATCAACCATGCAGCAAGAGCGAATCATCTGCTTCACTAAATCCTCATCCAAACATACAAAACAAATACTGTAAATTATAAATCATAGACAAAACACAATCCCTTGATGCAATATGAGAAACATAAACATTCACATCAGGAAAGATCAAGATGCCTAAGATAATGAGTTGACTCCTAATCATTTAAATGATCGTATTGCTCAAAGTACAGGGTGAGGAAGATGAGTAGCCACTCATTTTCCATTCAGATCTATTAATCAACCTTTTACTAATTAATAGCAGCATTTCTTTTGAACATCTAATTCTTAGTTTTCCTAATCCAGATCTAGATCTGCACTAGAAATCTCCATTGGAACCTCTGTGGCTCCAAGCAGCATTCTGGCGGACCAATCACAGCTCTCTACCAGGATTTCAATTCGATGAAGCATTGTGATCAGTCCACAACACTTTCTTCGGAGTAGGGTTAGTGATTGGCCCTCCATTGTAGGCTTAGACTGCTGGAAGACATACTGACAACTTTCCACACTGCTAATTTCTCCCACCATTACTCTCCAATTGCATCATTTCTTGTTATTTCAGCTGTTAACTTTATGTTCTCTGTAAGTGTTTTTGTCCCCAGAAGATACACTAGCATTTTGCTGAGCTGTCATAGCCTCCTGGAGGGGGCATTGGATGGAACATTGCCAACCAGTAGTCATTCTACCTCTCCTGAAAATAACATTTTAATAAAAAAAATTCTTTAACATAGAATGTTAAAGAATTGTGGCTCCCCGAGGACTAGTTCACCTGAATTAATGGTGATGATTACATATTAGAGCTCATTCTGGAACTAGTTTATATGAGATACTGTGTCAGTGCTTGCAGTGCAAATAAGACCATTATCAAACCCCAGTTGCACAAGAGCAAGAAGCAAACGAACTTAGTGACCTAAATTATAAACACTGGTGGTTTTATTTATAAATTAATGCAACTTACACATCAGGCTCTTCTGTCAGTGGTAGAGACTAAACCCTAGAAGCACACAGCGGGGAAACTGTAAAATTACAAAATCCACTCAGACCCAGCGTTTCTCACAAACGTCTGAAATGAAGTCAGTTTGTTTACTTTGGACCACAAAAAAAAAAATCTAAATTTCCATAGATTGTAATAATTAGGGTAGAACATAGCTAAATTTCACAACAGCATACTTCCTTTATAACCCCTCTACATATACAAATGCAAACCTATTTATGCAACCACAATAATAAGTTAGTTTTCACACAAGTTTAAACAGAAATCAGGCAGTGAACCACTGCTAGTCTCATCAAAGTCAGTCTGAAGGAGCTGGACTCTACATGGGATCTATCAACCAGCCCCACAGCCCTGTCCAGAAAAAAGATCTTCAGAGGATTCATTTTCTGAGAAGGTTCGCTGAGTGGTAATGTTGTTCTTATTTGTTTGCATGTTTTACTTGTTTTTATTCTATTTTGCATGTTTTTAATTGTGTACAGAGGAGCACCTGGAGCACAGTCCTGGAGGATGGACGGCGGCCGAGTGCGGAGGAGCGTGGGTGTCTCTCTCGCCGCACATGTGCGGCGCGCGTGCAGGTGCAGCTCACTCAGCTCGGGGTCTTGGACCGAGGAGGGGGTTCACCAGCAGCAGCAGCGGAGGGAGATCCGCGGGCAGAGAAGCAGGCGGGCAGAGTCAGGGGCGTGTCCAGGGAGTGGCCTGGGGCAGCACATGCCACCCTTGTCCACCCCAGGTGCCACCACACTAATTTACCTTTAAATAGGCTTTTCATTGTCCAAGAAAGGCTTGGGGGTAAAACAAAAATAGCATAACCATTGGTGCCACCCATGCACAAAGTGTTGCCTCACCTGGGCCACCCCATTTTAAAAGATCTGGACACGCCACCGGGCAGAGTTGCTCTGCCCCCACGTGTAAGTAATTGATCAGTGCCTGGCAGTGTTTGGAGTTGCTGTTGCTCTGTGCGTGGTCTGGTGCCGGAGTTTTTGTGTGCCCACGGTGGCCGGGCCGAGGAGGAGGATTGGATCCACCGTGCAGTGATCCTGTGGCTCCCCGAGGACGACGCGCACCGCAGGAGGGCAGGGTCGTGAAGGCTTCCCTGTCGAGAGCTCAGCAGGGCCGGACTGGTCTGCTTTGTCCCCTGAGGCCCTGCGCAGACTGACTTGAGAGCTCATTGTGGCATCATGAGCTGAGTTTGGGAATAAATGCCCTTTTAATTTGCTTTTGTGGTTGCACTGCTTGCCTTGTTTAGAACCTTTTACATATTTAATATTTTAACTTTTACACCTCCTTTTACTCCTATGGTTTTATCAGTGAACCAGTCTTAAGCTTTGGCACGGTAGATTTTAATTTTCCTATAGGTCCTACCACTCGTATTGCCACAGAAGGAAGTCACAGCTGCCACAACAGCTGGTGTGTCATATTAATTGTGGTACCCAGGCTTCACCTGGGAGGACAGGGACGTCCTTTAGAGATTAATCGATTTCTGCAGCAATTTGCCCCTACTTCAATAACACGTTGTTCTCTGACATGTTAATAAACCAACCCACGTGGATTTATTTAAGTTCACATTTTACATGCAATCACGTTGTGTCTGTTGCTTCTCAACATTTTGTTTTTCATCACCTGTCATTCAAGGCTTTCAGGATGTCTCCATACGGGGCAGCAGACGTTCAAGAGGGAGAGTGGGCTATCTTGTACTTGGAAGGCTGCAGGTTTGATCCCAGCACCTGCCTAAAAAGGCTGCTGTTGTGTCCATGAGCAAGACATTTAACCTCCCTGACCTGACGTGGTGGCCAGAGGGACCGGCAGCCTCGCCTCAGTCAGGGCAGCTAAAGGTACACTGTAGCTCATCACCACCAGAATGTGTGCAGGTGCTCTTATAGGGTCCTGAGTGCAAAGCAGATCAATCAATTAGCTCAATTTTTTTTTCATGTAGGTTTTTAATTTTTTTCCAATCAGACTGTGATTTTCTTTTTTTACATTTGTCTTGAAATTTAGGAATTTTTCTACATATTTAAACAAAAAATTGAACTGTTTGCTCAAATGAGACATTAAAACAAGGTAAAGTCAGACACTGTGACCTCTTCCTTACACACACACACACACACACACACACACACACACACACACACACACACACACACACACTGTCTTATCGCTCTGTTCTTGTATAAATAAAGCTCTCAGGGCAGCATCTCCTTGCAGTTTTGTGAGTTTCACTTTGTGAGCAGATCTGTGGTTCATTGTCTCTTCTCTTCGACTGCAGGTATTGGGTGATAAAATCCCTAACAGTTAAAAATTCAACAAACTGAACGCATTTATGTTCAGGTTCACTCATTATTAGGCTGTAAATAATTGCTTTTTAATTTCTCAGTGTGATGTTCATAAGTTAAAACATAAATTGCAAAATCAAGAATATGCTTTGTTTTTTTTTCATCTTCAGTGTTAGGTCTTTTGTGCCAACATTAAAACATCAAGTCTCGACTTCTCCATTTATCCTAACCTTAAAAACGTTATTGTGTAACAATATTTTAGACCTTTGAAGTGTTCAGTAACTGTTTTTAGTGCACTTGTAGGCCTACATCTTTGAGCTTTTAAGAATATTAAATATGAAATCACAACAGGGGGCAGTGTTGCATAAACCTACAAAGTCTTGATGAGACTAAGAGCTTTCCTTGCTTTTACAATCTGTTGACAGTGTTGACGCAGACGTTTGTTGTTTGACTTTAAAACAGAGAAAACGCTAAAACAAGCAGGATAATGAACCTCCAGAGCTGGAACAGCTTTAAACAAAGATGGTATAAAAGGTAGATGAAAACTTCATGGTTTGAGCAAAAAGCACTGACACAAGCATAAAGTGAAACATAAGTACTTTTATTTTTGAGCCGTTGAGCATGTTTATATAAAACTGTTGCATTTCATCAGAAGTGAACAAGTATACAGTTCAGTTTCAAGTAAAGCAGTTTAACCCTTAGCAACGGTGGACTCTTCAATCTTTAAAAAAAGATTCTCTCAAAAAATAAAAAAAATAAATCCATGTTTACATCTGCAACCATACAAAATGAGCTGTGAATATATAAACCAACTCATATATAAATTCTGGCAGTGACAAAAGGAGTTTTAGTACCTGAATTTGTTGGCATCTCTGAAACAAGTTGCCCAATGCATAGCAAATATATATGTCGTGTTTTCTACATGACGAAAACAGAGCAGACGAATGACTGAATCAGTGAAACGCTGATCTGTAAAATGTAAAATCACAAACCTTGAGAAATACATTCATGTAGAGGATTCTGGGTCCTGCCCACAGCCGCAAACAAGCAAGGCACTCACCAACAGTCAATAACTTATTAAAATGACAGGATGAAAATATGTCTTAAATACTAAACTACTATAACTTAGCCAGTGTTTTCCTTTTTTTTTTTTGGACAAATTTATACAAATTAAAAAAAAACATAAGAGGCACTTTAGTTGGTGGGGAGTGAGGCACTTCTATATAACCTGTTTCCCATTATTTTGTACAAAAATACAGACGACAGTCCAGCGGAGAGGAGCTGAGTCAGTGATCCCATGGTGGATAGAGTCTGGAGAGGCCTACATGTGCCTCTTCATGTGGAGCGCCAGGTGGTCTGAGCGGGAGAAGGCTCGCTCACAGAGGTGACACTGAAACGGTCTGTGCCCGGTGTGCTTCCTGAAGTGACGCGTCAGCTCGTCTGACCTGGCGAACTTCCAGCCACAGCCTTCCCAGTTACAATGATAAGGCTTTTCACCTAATAAACAAATAGAAAATGAATTATGTTACTCTTTTCCTGTTTTACAGCTGCTGGTTGTTGTCAGCGACAGGTTAAGAGAATATTCTCACCTGTGTGGGTCCTCATGTGGGCTTTAAGATGGGAGCTTTTGGTGTAGGTCTTCCCGCAGCCAGGGAACTCGCAGTTGTGCGTGGCTGCGCGTTTTCTGGTCCACGGCTTGCGCCCTCGCTTCTGCTTGATGCACCCCGCCTCCTCGTGCGCGTAAAACTCCAGCAGTGGTGATGACGGAGGGGTGAGCATCATTCCCTGCATGTTAGCAGGATGATGTTGAACGTGCAGCGACTCCCTGTGCACGCTGTACTGTCCCTGGAACTGTGGCGCTCCTGGGTGCGCGTACTGAGGGTGGTACGGCGCGTTCAGGTACTGGTTAGGCAGGTGATTGGGATGCTGGTGGTGATGGGAGCTCATGTTCATTTGCGGCATGCTGCAGCCTGCGCGTCCCTGGTGGATAGTGTGAGCTCCAAAGCCCTGCAAAGCACCTGGAACACCGCGTTGGTGCGCAAACGCAGCTGGGTGCACTGAGCGCATTTGTTGTTTGTCAAACACTTGTTCAGAAAAGTCCCCTCCAGCCGCTATCATACAAGACTGAACCCCCGGCTCGGTTTTAACTTTATATCCAAGGGGGGGCGGAGATGGACCAGATGCAACCGAATTTAAAGCCCGAAGCTCGGTGTACTCGCCCGGCCGGTCCGGTGAGCTCCCTTCTGGATAACTCATCTCAGGCGTGAGAAGCTCCGCCATCAGGCTGCGCACCGGGCTCGTTCCAGTGAAGCCATGATAGCTCTGAGGAGTCAGGTGAGTAGACGGTTGTTCTGTTGAGTCTGGCACGCAACCGCTGCAGCTGTCTGGAGACTCCGGGAGGGAGTACGCGCACTGCTGCTGCTGCTGCGGGGGTGAAATGCTCCCACAGTCACTGTTAACGACATCAGCTCCGATCGTGTTGGATAAAATGAACTCAAGGTCCACAAATTTTCCAAGCTCGTCTTCCTCTCTTGGGGGCAGACAAGGAGACTGGACGATGCTGAACTCCAGCTCGATGCGCGAGCCGCTTTGGCCCCCTGTTGCGTCGCTGCGCGCACACTCATCCAGATTACAAAGCTGCACAAAAAGGGACAATGACGTTAGGAAAAACAACAAAATAAACAACACCCTACTTGGAGATAAATAACAACTATCATGGAAAATGAAAGTTACTTACATCGCTCATCGTTTTGGTGCTCTGGAACATAGAAGGCGTCAGAGCTTCAACTAAAGCCATGATAGACGTTTGTTTTGAAAAAAGAAAAAAAAAGTTGGACTTAGAACTCCACACTGGAACAGACGCTGCTCTCTGTGTCCATAGAGCCTCGGTCTGATTCAGCTTGTTCCAGGATTCAGGATGTGAGTATCAACACAGACGGAGACTTTTATAAGGCTTCTTTTACGGGGAGGCGTGGTCTTCTGCTGCTGCCACACACACACACACACACACACAGACACACACACGCACACACACACACACGCACACACACACACACGTCTTCTTTTTTCCTCCCTCTCTGACAGGTACGTGCTTTTTTGAGAAAGAATTAATCTTGCACGCAAAACATCCTTTTCCTTCTTTTTTGTTAACCCACTACAACCACGAAGTCTTAAAAAGTATGAAAGGCTAATTTGCTGCAGGTATCTATTAACTTGGTAATTCCCTTGAGGTAGGAACAGAGTGCGCTTCTAAACCCAGAAATCATGATTTAAGAGACAATAAAGTATTTATTAAAACACCAATTGAGGGGAATATTTGCAGGTTGGGGATGAGGAGGGTTGGACAGAAACGCCGCTGAGTTTTGGCCCTCAAAACATGGCAGAATCTATTAGTTTAACCCCCCCCCC